TTTCCACACGTGTTCCAATTGAATCAATTAGTATTACGTTCTGCCGGGAGGATTTGAACATCCATGATCACAGTATAATATATTTCTGTTTTTTTCACTGAGCCTGCTGTGTTTACTGTGACATTCTATAATATATCTTCGATGAAGTTATTAGAATTCCTTCCTGTGCTTCTATAAAGTTGGGGCGTGAGATTCTCAAGTTTACTCAAAAGAAAAGTGGTTCTGGGGTATAGATGTTTCTCAAGGTGGAAGAAGAGTGGCTTGTCTACCAAAAATTCTTTGATGGATTGGGTGTTCATGACGGACATATTGAAATGACAAATCATTTTGTTTGAGAAAGCTGCTGGGAGTCAAATTGCATTTTCAAACACAACAACAGATGCGAAGGGTTTGCTGTTATTCTGCATTGCAGGGAAACAGACATATTTAATTCTTAAGCTAGCATCTGAGGAAGCCTCTCAGCAAGGCATGTATGCCAATATAAACTTGAATAAATCAAGTATCTCATTAACAAGAAATGCAAATAGAAGATTGATGGTATGAAGAAGCAACACTCCAAATCCATTATTTAAAAGGAAACTTCAGGCAGGTCAGGGGGTCGGAAATTTGTGTGCTCTGACAACGTAGCTCCAACTGACTTTTAATGAGCGGACAGTTGTCTGAGCTTGAGTGGTATATGAAACCGTTAACCATTATTCTCCTCTTTTTAAGGCAGTAGCATGAACATGAAAAACTGGACATTGAATTTGAGTCTGAACATCCGCCCTTCAAGTAGCACTGGTGTGTTGTTTTCCCTGGTCAGTAACAACACCGTGCCTCTCTCTGTGGCGGTGATGTCCACCTCTCCTGATGACGAGGTAATCTCACACACTCTTTCCTCCCATGCCCTCTCATGGCCTTGTTTCGTCTACATTTCATACTCAAACTCTGTAATTGTGTGCTAGGCTGAATTTGTTCCATAAGCTTTCTAGTACAAAATACCACACATGAGTTGAAGGCCTTATTAAACTAGTTTAGTTAACAGTGTGTTTATCTTTAATCACACACTGTGCATGGCCCCTAAATTCTTATGTTTCTATGAGTTCCTGTAGAGCTCACATGCACATTGTTGATGTATTAAAGGTACTGTATGTGACAAAAGAACCGCTGGGTGAAATTACGCTGCTTTTTGACTAATATTCCATGTCAGTCCATGTCCTTTAAAAAATCTAAATACATTTTTTCCACCCCCTGTACCTCAGTAATTAGATAGGTGGCATTAAAAATTTTGCTCAAGCTATGAACCTCGTAGTGTTCTATTTTAAAATGCCTCGGGTAACATCCTACCCATTTCAGCTTTTACATACAGGTGATCTTCTCGCTAAGTGGCCACGTCACAAAACAGAGCACGCCTTTATCAGCCCCTCATAAGGGGGGATTGGGAAACAATGTTTTGCCGGGGTGGGGCAGGCCTGTAGATACACACTATGGTCCCACTTTTCCTCAGCCAATAAAACTGCCCACCTGATTCCTGTGCTGGAGTGTTCGTCTTGTCCGTATTGGAAACGCTAAGGTCCCACGGATTAAGGAACTTTTAAAGATGTCTTCCAACTTCGTAGTCAGAAAAATCTTTCTCACTTGTTCCTTCCTTCGTACCTGCTCCTCTCTCCAGGACATATCCGTCTTCATTGAGGACGTGCTGGTGGCCAGCGTGCGGCCCAGTATGCTGTGCTTCCGGAGCCGCCTGGCGCTGGAGGTGGAGCTGTCCAGCTGGGGGGTCAGGGCCTCCTTGAATTCCAGCGTCTCGGAGCACTACGCTGAGCAGGCCGTCCTGCAGAAGCAGCTGTCTGTGCTGTCCGCAGCCCTGCAGGGGCGCGTCGACACCTACGTCGGGGGTGTCCAAGGTAAACTACGCGCTCCTCAAAGGGCCTTCTTTCAATCTTGAACGTCTTTCAAAACTGTCATGCTACCACCAGGCTAACAGTGTGTATCATTTGAAGGGCTGGATTTTGTTAAGAAATCCAGGTTGTGAATAATATCCCATAATATCCATAATATCATTTCAAGATAAAAACGTATCAACGTTGAAATAACATTGGTGATTTTGTTTTCCATGTTGAGTTTCTGCAACTAAACTAATGTAGGAAAGTAAGAATTACTGTATTACAAATGAGAGCCACTTGAAGCCCCATTTAAGAACCTAGGAATGGTTAGAAATGTTTATCTAACATTTCTAGCAGTTAGGAGTTAATATGTTTCCCTGTTGATTCTGAAGAATTCTACGTCAGCACCTTTGAGAGTATTGCGTACATGAACCAGGCATTATCTGTTCAAGTGAGGAAAAAAAGGTTCAACTCATAAAACCTGCCAGTGTAGGACATATTTTTATGGCTGCTCTTCTCTGGATTGATTCCGGAGCATCTGTAACCTTTATGTGAGGTGGTGATCAAGATTGTAAATAATATTGTAAATGAGTTCTTGCGCATTCTCTAAGTAATGCTGTGAAATCACCTGAGATGACCTTTCTGAGGGCATCCCAGTGCCTGCGGCGGTCGTGTAACAGTGTGCCGAGCAAGTTACAGAAGCGGAATGTGCACTCCAGTGTTGAGCTCTGAAGCAGCAGACTGACGCAAGGCAGTGGCAGGGCGGAGGTTGTTACTGTCTAGAGAGTGTCCCCAGGTATGCCCTGAGCCATCAGCACGGCCGTGATCAAACACCCACAGGGGCAGAGCAGAGCTGCAGTCGTCAGGGGCACGGTGTCGAATTCTCAGAGGAGAGCAGGGTTCCCCACTTCTGGACTGAGGCCCTGTGGCTCCAAGTGCACAAGCAGCTGCAGTCGTATCCTGGCAGGGGCAGAGTGGAGCCACGTTCGTCTCATATACTAGTAGAGTAGAGGAGTTTATTGCCATACGTACACGTACAGTGGAATTCTTATCTGCGCTGATCTCTCGGGACACACACAGCACAACAGACAACACCGCACCATGTACACAGTACATTACAAACATGATAAATAATAACACCAGGAACAATAAATATGTTGTGGGACAATAAATATGTAGTAGTGAGAAAAAAAGCGTGGTAGAGCATACAAAGGGTGCAGAGTGTGGGTGTGCATAGAGTCAGAGACGTTGCAGTGAGCTGTTAAGGATTCGCAGTGCAGTGGGGTAGAAGCTGTTCTTCAGTCTAGTGGTCTGTGTTTGAACAGTGTGGTACTGCTGGCCAGAGCACAGGGGGGAGAACAAACCGTCTGTGGCCAGGAGGGTTCAGGATCCTGAATGATGGATTGGGCTTTACTGTGACGGCGGACAGTGTGAAACTCACCGATTGACAGTCAGTCACATCCTGTAATCCTCTGTGCTGTTGCCAGAGTGGCAGAGTGGAGTTCGTTGCCGTCTAGAGAGTCTGTGATCAAACTCCCACAGAGACAGAGCTGCTCGCGGTACATTAGTAAGCTGTTTTTTGTCGAAAGCTTTAACTAGAGGCGATTGTCTTTCACATGGCAATAAAGTATCTATGTTTCATACAGTATGTCTATAAAATATTGCAATACATCTTCCATGGCCTACTGTCAATGCACATTTAAAAAAATGAAGACATGCTTGCCTCTATTGGTGGTTTGAGGTTGCTTGATATTTCCATCTTTGTTGAGGGCATGACGATATTGGCCTGTGAATCCCTGGCAAAACCTGCGAACTCCTCTGAGATGCTGCCAGATTGATTATCCCGGTATTTGTTCCTGACGGCTCTTTGACTGAGGCAAGGAAAAAGATCTGACTCTCTCCGAAATACAATATTTCTGAATATCTAGAGTAACTTTTTTAAAGCAAAATTGTTGAAAACAAAGAGGGAAAACCTGCCACCTCTTGGATGTATTTGGAAGTGACGCATATTTGTCTTCCCAGAACACACACAGGGCTCTGAATTGAATGATACAGTTGGTATAAAAGGCAATAAAACTGGAAGTGGAATTTGAGGTCTGTTTACCCGTAGAATTAGTTTGTAGCACTGTCTCATATAAGAATCAAAATACAGCAAGGTCTTCCTTCCTAGTTTTAAATACAAGAAAGTATATTCTATATAAGTTAGAAGTGTTTATGATTTCATGCAAACATGCTTAAAGTTGTTGGTCCTAATTTAAACAGAACATCAGAAAGTATAAACTGGTTACATTTTTCAGAAGAATTTATTGCCCCTACTGTTCCAGGTTTATGTAGTTCCACCAGTCTCGGGTGTTTACACTAAGCTGCCTAAGAGATATTTTGGGAATGTATAAAAATTTGAATGAAAACACAGCTAAAGAAAGTTTTAAAGCATTGATGTGCACTGCATGGCTGCTGGGTGATAACTAAATGTTTCTATCATAATATCTATAAAATATACTGTACACGTAAATACCATAGTACTTTTCTCTTTTTAACAGGATGTTCAGATTCTGAATGGGTCTTTTCTTTGCTTTTTACTGTTTTTTTCATCCTGTTCAAAACCGTTTCTACACTTACTGCAACAGTTAGCATATAGGTTTCTGACGATGGGATGTCAACAGGAAATTGTAACGGTCACTCTGTAAATAATCTTTCAACCTAGTCTTATCTATTTGAAAAGATTTGACACTGCAAAAATGTCATTGTCATTTCAAATAATTGGATGACATAAAGGGAATTACAGAGGGACATTTCATTAAGGCATATATTTAGATTTGAAGGGACCAATTATTTTGTGCTGTAGACTTGAAAGCCACCTGGATCTGTGTCAGAGGAATATGCCAGTAATGTGAAAATTAATTTCTTCAATCTCTAACAGTTTATGCTACTGCATATAACACTTTCCACTTGCCTGAATTTAATTAACATCATCTGTGTTAAATTTTCAGATTAAGAAATCACCCTTCATTTGTGCATGGTTTTTCATTTATTAACCTGTTTCTAAGTTGGTTAATATCAAAACATGGTTAGACCCAAACACAAACTTCTCCCCCAACGCCTACTGCCTGTAATTTTAAATCAATCTCTTATAAGGAAGTTTACCAAAAAGCCTTCTGAAAATCTAAATACAACATATTGTATGCTTTGTGTTTGTCAGTGACTGTAATGTATCTATTACCGTTGTTGCTTGTTGCTGCCTGACTAGACCTACATTTCTTAATTCAAAATGCTGACTGTCCCCTCCTGGGTTAGATTTAGCAGAATGTATGCCAAATTTTATCAGTTATTTTTTAAAAATTCGAATTTAAGTATCTTTTTATTCCTATTTTCTTGACATGGAAGGTTCTGATGCGAACGCGTGTGAATATGTTGTATTGCGTTTCTGCCTTTTTTAGTTCTGCAGACGACTGAACATTCACTAGACTGAGCAGAAAAGAAGTGAATGGACCGTCTGTATGTGTTTGTTTTGCAGGTGTTCCTCTTTCAGCAACGCCTGTTACTGCCTTTTATAATGGCTGCATGGAAATAGTGGTCAACAACAGACAGTTGGATTTTGATGAAGCCATCAGCAAACACAGCGGCATCACATCCCACTCCTGCCCTCCAGTCTGAAGGATACTGGTGCGATTCTGCTTTTGCATTTTACGTCGTAGGTCAATTCTTAAATTCCACCCGTGTTCGATTCCTGATGTAAAATATTGTATATCCCCGAAAACCCATGTTTAAATCCGTACAGTGGTTGTAAAAAGAAGAATGAAAATTTCCTGAAATTATCAATTTTTTTATACCTTTAATAGATTTGGCTTGGTTCTATGCAATAGAGATTACAGATGCTCCTGCCTGCTGTAGGTGTTTACATTGTACTGTATGTATACAAGACATTAATATACATCTTCTCATACACAGTGCTATAGTACGTACTGTACGCTCTTATCAAGCTTAAAAAACTGTATTGTGTACAGTACTTTGGTTTAGCAAACGCATTGAGTCAACGTATTAAAAATTAAGGCAGACCTGAATTTAATGGTAAAATGTCTTCCATTAGAAAAAAAAAACAATTTCTGACTGACACATGATTTAGAAGCTAGCACCTCACATTCCCACTGCTGGTCATGTGCAAATCAAACCGTGTAAAACACAAATATTTTGTATAGTTTTGTAAGATTTAAACACGGTCAAAAACAGCGTTAAAGGAAAATTCGCCAGAAGTACATTTGGAAATTTGTTTCTGCATTTTAAGAGTGAACTAGACATACTGTTTTTGAAAATGTTTAAAAGTTGTTCTTGCTTATTACTGTATTTTTTAGCATCTTTGTTAAAATCTGCATAAAAACCTTTGTACATTTTTTAAAAATCCATATAGGTACAATTATACTTGTTATTGAATTGTTGAAACCACATTCTCATATTGTGATTTGGGGAAATATAAAAAGCTTTATTCCTTTTCTTACCCCTCCTGCATTACAAATAGTAATCGCATTACAATGCTGAGCAAATATAAAGCTCTTGTATAACAAATCCATATCTGTGCTACAGTACTTACACATGACTTTTGCAAAAGCCAGAAATAGAAAATAAATACTGTAAATGAAGCTTGAACCTGAGAAATAAATCACACTGTAAAATAAATAACACATGTAGAATACTGCCAAAATTCCATCTCATGGTGGAGTGGCAAAGCAATATTCTGAGACATATAAACAAGGAATAAAATGGTTACAGAAAACTAGAAGGTAAACATAAGTGAAAGATACATTCTGTGATTTTCTATCTGCAATTTTCAAACTTTAAATGACTTTAAATGTACATACCATAGTGTGGTTAAAATAAGATCACAGTATTATAGTCATGAGTCTCTGCCTATTTTATTCATGGGTTTTAATCACAAGTGGAAGATTTGTCATTTGATTGCTGTGGTCGACCGTTGATTAATGGAAAATTAGCTGTAATGTTGCGATTACCTGCACCTTTCTGAATTTGACTGGATAAGATGTTGCAACTAATGAAAGAGGGTTCCTATAGATTGCTGTGCCCTGGATATCTCGCAGCTTGCAATGATATACTGATACAGGAAGTCTCCAGATAATCAGATCAACAATCTTCAGAAGTATGTTAGGAGGGTACAGCTTCTGGGACGTTCGATCTGCCTTTGACATAACACTGAATATATACAGTATATACATGTTGACATATTACGCAGTGAGTTCATTTAAGTCCAAAGTACTGTAGCTTATGTCCTTAAGGGTGGTTCAGCTTTACTGCACCATGAATAGTCTAGATCACTTGTAACATAAAAATCTCACACGTCTAGAGCAATTCCAGAGGTATTTTGTTTGTATAAATGTATATTTCATAATTCAGTCCAATAAAATGTTTTTTTTTTCACAATTTGTTTCTTTTCATCCGTTGTTGTAGCATTGCATACTGTACTTGTAAGCTGCAAGTATTGTTTTGTAATAACTTTGTGTATATAAAAGTGTCAAAGACGCTGGGTTGGTTTTGTTCCTTTTACCGTGAAGTTAAACTATACATAGTAAATACCGTTAATAACAAAATATTTTTTTTAATTTGCCTTTATTCTGGGTTATTTACTTTGATTGCAAAAAATCCTACCCACGTCAGTGCAATAGTCATATACTGTACTTGTACACAAATTAAAAATATGTCATCACAACAAAGTAAATGTAAGCGAACCGTTCCTGATTTTCACTGTGATATCAGACATTGGACTGAGTGTCATTACTGCACTGCCAGCACATTCAAATTTTAACCATAAGAAAAAAAGGTTGATCTGCCATCTAGACTGCATGTGAGCCTTTTCACTGCAACACAAAATGACATCTGTCATTATCCCTTGCACAGTTCACTGCTAAACGATAACAAGTAACTTTATGAACTTGAACAGTGTAGGGCCTTCTGGTTTAGAGGTAGACATACAGTATCTGATATATGTCACATGAGCTTTTTTCTTGCAGCTGAATGCTCAGAACATTCACTCCGTTAAAGTTGTAGAACCTCCGAACCTGGTAAACAAGCATTTCAATTAAGTATATAATTATTACAGTATTACCAGTAGGACCTGGTAAACAAGTAATATAATTTTTACAACTAAATTATTAGACCAACTACAGTATGTAACTTGAGATCTCAGATAGAATAAAAATCAGAAGACCCTCCAGATCCCTCAGCACATGAGTCTGAGACCCATGAAGGCTGACTGTTTTGGCAGTACCTTCAATAAGATCCAACTGGATTTTAAAGTTGCCATTAAAACGAACTGTAAATAAGTCAATTTAGATGTTACTAAATGCACTTGTTTGCTGTTAGTAGAAAATACCCAGTTCTTTAAACAATATTGCTCTGTGTTGACATTTTCTAGTGCTTTTGTTCTTGATATTTCATTTAATTAATCATATTAATAACTTATAATAATCATAATTAAATTACATATATATATACTGTATATCTGGAAGACCCACAAAATACAAAGGCGACACGAAGTCCTCTAATGTACTGTATGCTTCAGCAACATCAGCATACTGAACGTGTTTATTTACTATAGTTTGCTCCCTTATTTCTTTCTAAATGGTTCTTATTAGATGAACATTTTTGAATGTATCGGACAGCTTTGATCTTCCTCCAGAGCTGTGATTGACACACAATAAGGAAATAATAATAAGGAATAAGGAAAGACGCAGAAACTCAGAAATTACTTATTCAAAGTCATGAAAACATATTTAAAACATGACAATTTAAAAAATATATATATATCCTGCCATTAAGAACTCGGCTGACACAAAATCCAGCAGTCATGGGGTTTTTGCAGAACCAGGAATGGCAATCGATACATTTGTAAACCGACACAATGCAACTCCGGGTCCAAAATTGTTGCAAGACGGCGTAACCTTCAAGGAGAAAGGTATAACCAGGCGTCAGATTAGTTTGGCGGTAGACAAGTCAAAACATTACATTTATTTAAAAATAAATATATATATATCTTAAGTCCTTTCAGCTCAGCTAAAGAACTGGTTAACGGACGCAAACAACAAATTGTCAGGCTGCGTTATTCTTTCGAGCAGTTTTACAAGGGACATTTGCCATGAGCTACACGCAGTATTTTAAGTCAGAAGCCAGCAAGAACGCGTTCGATTTAAGCTAAAATGGAGGTTATGAGAGAAACTGCTTGGCAGCTCTACGTACTGTATGTGCACTGAATGTCTGTTTCTCGCTCCCAGCCTCACACCCCCGGTCCGTCGTGGGGCTGCCGAGGCGAAATACACAAGTGAAACACAATTGCATAGGGAAGTGCGCTGCAGTGGATGCAGTGTTGTTGTGGCGTGTGGCGTGCGGATGGAAAAGGGCTGTGCGCTGAATTTTCGGCAGCAGACACCCCCGCTGGGGCAGTGAATGTCCTCACTGTTTGTATCTGAGCCTGCCCAGCGACTTGGCTGCTACAGTCAGCCGAAAGGGAAACTTTCCCAGTCTGTCACAAACAAACATGCCGCCGACCTCCGCTGAGCTGTTATCGGTTTGCCTGCTGTTCGTCCAAGCCTTCCCGGCGTCTTCCCAGTGTAAGTAAACAAGCTACACCCGCATTTTAACGGCCGAGGTGTCGTTTTTAATGTAACGCAAGTCAGACCCAGTACAGCTGAAATTAAATACGCTCAGTACAGAGCATCTTTTTTTTAAAAAAGGAAATCGTTAGTTTTACAGTCTGTATAATAACAGGAGAAGCGATTCGAAACGTTATTTAGCGACTGCTTGCCTGGATTTGTTGCACAAATGTGGAATAGCTGCGCTTTTGAAATGTATGGGCAATAATGCATTGAAATCTATGGATTTCCACCCGATTCCAATCTCCCCCCCACCGCAGTTGCGTTGTCTCCAGAAGAGGCTAACCAGTTCTTGAGCAGACACAGGCGAGCGAATCACGTTTTTGAAGAAACGAAACAAGGACACTTGGAGCGAGAATGCGTGGAGGAGACGTGCAGCAAGGAGGAAGCCCGAGAGGTGTTTGAAAACGACCCCGAGACGGCAAGTATTGACAGTCCGGGTTATTGCCTGCGTGTCTGTCCTGTGCTGCTGCGGTTCTCGTCACTCGGGACGTCGTTGGGCAAAGCCCTTCGCCCAGACATCGCACAAAGCTGCATCTTGCACCAGTGGCAGTCACTGCGATGTGTTTGGGACCCAGTAACACTTTTCGTCCCGCTTGTTTAAACCTGTCATTTCTGTGGTGGTGTTTTTGCACAGCCCTCATTTGCACGCTGCAGCGTCAGCCCAAGCGGTAGGATGGGTTTTCTTGTGCTCGAGTCAACTTCATTCATCTGTGTTCTCGGTTGCCGGTGTCGCCACGGATAAACCGCGATCCTGCAAGTTTTGGATCCCAGTGATTTATGATTGGGTTAATGTCTGCTAGTATCTAACCGCTCCTGCCGAATTTGTGCACGTCAAACAAACTTTAGACGAGTGGAAAAGCGAGCTGGACTTGTATGGTTTTTCTTCCAAAACTAATTTATGAGGCAAAATGAATTATTGACATGCCTGTGAGTGTTGTTCGGTTACTTTTGTATCTCATTTTACTTTATCTTGACAACTCCAAGACAAATTGAATGATTAATAGTTCACAAAAACTGTAACAGTACTTCTGACACCTGGCTTCCTAATGGCCCGTCTTGTTTAAATGATGTGAACATTAATACTGTATATGGAGAAATGTAGTGGCATTAATCTGGCCTATATAGAGCAAGGATGGGCACTCCCCTCCCTGTGTAATAGTGCAATATTGCTATTGTGTAATCACACGCAATGTTTTGTGTACTATTAATCATTCCATTTGGTCATGGAGGGCTGGTGTGTCTGCAGTTCTTCTTTCCTCTTCAAAGCAGCCACTGAGCTAAACTGGGAGAAGCTGTTGAATTGGTCCCTTTAAGACACTAGTCGTCTGAGTGGGTTTCTTAAGGGCTGATCTTTAACGTAAACCCATGGACACCGAAGGTCTCTCTCCGGGACCAGGGTTGTCCATCTCTGATCTACAGATTCTGCAGTGAGCTGTGACCTCCTCACATTATACAGGGTTACTGCGTTATATTCTCTTAACCTCCGTGGCCTCCTGTTTTTCATGTGCCATAATTTAACATTGCAAACTCTGTGACTTCTTATCTCAGACTATTGCTTTCTTATCACTGAAGGCTGGTACACGGGTACCTAATCTTTGTGAAGTATTTCACGTGAACCAGGGCAAGGAAAGCAGTGCAGAAGAAGTGACGTTATTTACTTTGATTGCAAAAAATCCTACCCATGTCAGTGCAACAATCATACACTTGTTCAGAAATTAAAAATACATCACCACAACAAAGTAGATGTACGTGAACTGTTCCAGATTTTAACTGTGATATCAGAAAAATGAACTGAGTGTCATAATGGCATATATGGTATTACATTGTATCTGGGAGACTAGTTACGTTCGAGCTGGGGGCTTTACCAAGGGGGTGAACACGCTCTCGGGTCATTTCAAGGAAGAGCAGGCGCTAGGGTCGTGGATTTTGCTCATGGAATGTTGTTGAGCTATTAATCCGCAGAGGAGAAGGCGAGGAATATAATTTGTCGCCACATTTTTGTTTCCCACCAAAAGGGGAACTTTGCCTAATCAGGGTTTTGCCAACAGCAATGGGGGAGAGGGGGAGGTGAACATTTGTTACTGTTGGACTTTGATGTTTATGTTTAAATATTTAGTTATCTTTGACAAGAATCGCTTAGAAAGATACTAGAAGATCTATGTGCATGTGTACTGCATTGTTTAAAATGCTGTACCTTCTTTTTTTTTTACTGTCTAAATTATAAATGAATGCATAAAGATTTTTAAAAATTGCAGCCCGGATATTGCTTGCCTCAGTATTTTCTCTTTCAGTGTCTGCTGAGGTCAAGGAGATCTTGCTGGGAAATATTTGGAAAATCTCCAGGTGATAACCTCTGGGCATTAATGCAGTTAGGCTGCAGCAGTTGCTGAGCAATACAGTGTTCTTATGTACAGTTCACATAGCTCGTCATCTTTTATTGTTAAAGAACAAAAACAGACAGACAGTCTCCATGAACAGACAGTGCTCCAATGGGATTTCATGTAAAGATCAAAAAGGACTGGGATAATATATTTTCAGTTATACAGTTGTTGTTGTTGTTGTTGCAAAGAATAACATGGAAAAATATTTGAACGGTGCAAATATGTATATTTATATTACCTGCGAATATGTACATTTTCCCTGGAATATTAAACTATGGACCTAGGCTTAAACATTTCATTTACTGAGTCAGAGGTACAGAACAAGGCTTTCTTATAGTAGTGCTGTGCATAAATTAAGGAAGTATTTGTGGAAGGGCAGACACTGACAACATTGGTTCTATTTGGAATGAAAAGCTGACTAAACGTTATTGCAGTATGTTAAAGAGGATGTGTCTGTCAGCCAGTTCCAATTGAACTCCTTTCTTTGAAGGAGGATAGTTGACACGATTCATAGGGCATTTATGAAAGCTAAAAAGTGCGTGATATCTTGCTGGTTAATGGATATGACTTTCACCTTGCGCATTATGAGATCAGAGCCCATGACAGGACATTTCTAATGGGTTTGAATGTCAGCTTTGATAAATTCCACTCTTAGTAAGAACACGGTGAGAGTCATTTTTAATTGCATGTCTGCAGCGCTAAAAACTGTTTACAGTGTCCTGAAATTTGTGTTCTTATTGATTTGTGAGGGACACCAGGCTGTTTCCACCCGCTGAGTTCGATTTGCTCTAAATGTAATGTTGACTTCTGGACTTTGACGAGGCTTTCAAAGAAGGAGTATATTACTCATTTCCTTCGCACATGATTACAGAATAAACAGGTCACTAGTCTGGGTCTTGCTTTAATTTTTCCTTTTTTCCTTACAGGAATACTTTTTTCCAAAGTACTTAGGTAAGTATTTTACTTTTAGTCATGCATTAGTAATTTTAACATTTATCCCCTTGCTCACTTTGAAACAGCAGGTTAAATTTAATGATGGGACTGTGCTGTTTTTTATTGTGGACCTCAGTATGAAGGCAACCAAAATAGTTTTAAAATAGTGCATGGTGTGTAAGCTTGCTGTACCAGTGTGGGCCTATGCTTTGAAAACTAGACCTATTTTTTCATGACATGTTTGTTGAACTTTGAGTCTACTTTCTGTTTTGTAATCTTGTCCATTTCACAAACAGTATGTAAGTACAGAAATATTTCATTGATTGAATCAAGTTGAACAATTCCATGATACTGATTGGATCTTAAAAGCTTTTTGGAGCACAGCGACATTTCCTGCAGTGCTGTCTAGCAGGTCACTGTTGTCTCTGGTGGACTTTAGTAAAAACTAGATAACAGTGGAGTCTGGTTAAACTGAACCAAGTTTTGCAATTCTGTTGCATTCCATTAATTTTGGTGTAAGCTTCAGGAGATTCTTCTACTTTTCAGTCAATGTAATCCTAACAATCAGAATTGTAGATTTTAGGCTGAAGATGAGAAGCAAAAGATGAGTTACCAATACATACTGTACAGCATTAGGTTTTTAAACTGTGTGATGGAGATGAAATTGATTCTCTGAAGGAGCACCACAATTGAGCAGGACACAGTGTATATCCGCTGTATCAGTGATTGTACTGATAAAAATTAAAAAAATCTGTTTCAAAACCACACATGCCAAAGCCTGGGTGGCTGGATTTAAAATGATTCACAATTCTTAAATATCTTGTCCAATCTGGTGTCTTGGCTATGTCTGTCTCCCTAGGTGGCTTGCCAAGCTAAAAAAAATGGAAGGAAATTATTACAAAAACAAGAATGAAATATACTTTCATATATTAGTTTCATAAGAATGAAACTGTTCATTCTTACGCTCAGTTTACTAACATTTGAATTTGGATTTTTTTTTGTTTGTGCTTCAGCTTGCATTAACAAGTTTGGAAATTCACAAAGCAAGTCGCAGGATTTCATCACTTGTGTACACAGTGAGTATCTTGGAATTAAAGAGTTTTTCTGCAAATACATCATGAGGAATGTTTATGATTGATTATGATGGCCTGAATTTAAACTTATATGTGCAGAGAGACATTAGAATCCTGTCAAATGCCATTGCTCCCAGTACTCAGGTTGCATTTTTATGCGTCCCAATACGTATCCATGTTCTGCAGACTGTCCCACTGAGAAGAAGTTATTGACTTTATGGACATGACTGTGTCCTTGTGAAAGTTGTTTTGTTGTGAGAGTGAGAAATAAGCTACTGTTCTGCCTAATCCTATTGTTAATCTGTTTAGCAGATTCCCTTATCCAGGGAGTCTTACAAAATACAATGACTGACAAAAACACCCAGTAGAACACATTTGTATTTACAATACATATAGTACAACACCAAATTGGGAAGACTGCACATGAGCCCTTGAGGTTCAGTGCTAGCAGTCTTCGCTTATACATTTTTACTAATCCTGCCTTCTGCCATCAGATGTCTACTATACTGATATTGCTTGCTTCATTAATGTGATTCTTTGCGGTAGACTACACTAAATGTAAAATAAATTCAGTAGAACTAACTGGGGAGCACAGATATGGTTATGTGTTAAAAAGAAGTTAGGTTACAGCTGTGGATATCCAGTAATTAAAAATCCCTTTCTTCCTGCGCTTCAGTTACTGTAGTCTGAAGGGTCTTTTAAGCCCAGGAGGAAAATGGATTAAACATGTCCTGCAGTTACTGGGCTTATTTAATTGAAAGTGAGCTTAAAATGTAAACACAATAGTTCAAGGTGAAAAATAGAGTTCATCAAGTCATTTCCTGGAAGGAGCTCTTGAAGACTCCTTCAAGCCTGTGTATAAAACAATGTTTTTCCTCTTATCCTTTTTATAAATACGCTTCACTGTAGATACCATTTGTGTCCTTGTGTGGTTCGTTGTTCATTCTAAAGAAGTGTAAAGAGTTAACTTCATCAGTGCCTTCGAGGAGTTTGAATACTTAAATCAGATACCTTGCAGTTTTCTCCTTTTTAGACTGAAAAGATTTGGTTCTTGTACAGTAGCTTGTCACTGTCGAATATTTCCCTTCAGCCCTGGAATGTCACTTGTGGTACTACAGTAGCTAATGACATCACTCCAACATCAGCATTCGTCCCTCCAGCAGTACTTGGTTATCCTACTCATTCATGTGCTCTGGTTGTATCTTTTGCTAGTGTTGCTCTTCAAGTAACAATATCCGTAAAGCAAAGCTCTCTCTTCTAAATCCATGTTAACTAGGATCCTGTTGCCGCACAGATGATCCTCCAGTTTCGTTCTAATAATTGCTTCCATAACGTTCTATGTAGAAAGACTTTAAGAGTAATAAGTACTTTCATCGCTTACATTAACAAGCAGTATTCCAGTACATTGGTACTACTCCTGTCTTGAATTGCTGTGAGAAGGCTTTTGCTAATTGCCCATTTCCTTACGTACATTTATTAGCATAACATACTGTATAGTACTGGACGTGTAGAGCTCCCCTCGATGCTAATATTATTTCATATAGAACTTTGCTTTCCTGATGATTTTCTTGGTCTCAAACACCCGAGTGGAATATTCTTTTAGTTTTACATCAGCCTGTGTCCGAGTTTATCTCCAATTCACCTTATTTAACTATTTTTCTGTTGTCGTCCTGGAAAACGGGATTTGATCTATTCTGCAGTATTCTGTTCTGGCTCTTGGTTTCCTACTGCCTATACGTAGTGTGGTGAAGGTTTGTTATGAAATATACTTCAGCTATTGAGTAAGGAGTGCAGCAAAAACGTGTGGGCTTGGTTTTTTTTTTAGATACCTCCAACAGCTGTGGAGCTTCATGAAAAGCTGTACTTTCGCCCGTTTTCCTGAAATGTAGCACATGACTTTCCCTAAATGAAGCAAGTCAACTATGCAAATCCGAATTCCGTGAATACCCCTATCCTAGAGCTGAAATGATTGTATCTCTAGGGCTTTTAAGTCAGTGTCTCAGTGCTCTTGTTTTCAGATTCACAGTATAAAGCCACAAAGCCGAGATTTAAAGCTTGGATCTGAATCAGTGCGTAACAGTAGAAAGCATTCCAAGCAAGCAGATACTTGACTGCTGTTGTCCTTCTGATTGTATCTGGAAGTTCTTTGGGTTGCTTTCTTGTTCAGTGAGTTTTAGGAGTGTGTTGCGTTGGCCCTCTGACATGCAAGTCTGCACTTGTTAGTGTATTTTACAAACCTCTGAAATGGGGATTCACAAAATTTGCTTTGCTTTACTTTTAATTGTCCCACTGAAAGACACCTGGCTGGCTCTTGTGGGATCAACTTCCATGCCAGGTGTTTTCAGTAGTTGTCTCTTTTTTTTTTTACTGTAGTTTAAAGTATTTTTTTCGTTTCACTATTATGATATCGACTATTACAACACAGGGTGGCAATGGTTGGACTCAATACTGGAAGGGTGTGGGTTCAGATCCCAGGTGTGACAGTGCTGTCGCACCCTTGAGCAAGACGATCGACCCAAATGGTTCCAGTACAGTTGCCAGCTGTATACACTGGCGCAAATCTAAGTTGCTTTGGATCAAAGCATCAACCAAATTAGCGACACGCAAGCATGATTTAAAAATCCAGTTTCACAAAGTAAAGGAACGATAACATTGTAACTTTATTTCAGTTTTTTTTTGCTTAGTTACTTGCTTCTTCTGCAATTATATTAGTTTGTTGTGTGGCATTTAGGGAGCCACACCAGGACAACCTGTATGGACGTATGGATGGAGCACATTAACACTGTACCAGGGTTGAAAATCTGGATCAGTACGTCAAGTGAAGGGAATATGTCCTGGCATCTCCTGTTCTGTTGTTCTTTTTTTTCCCAGATATTCCGGATCAATGCTCCCCTTCACCATGTAACCCAAGGGGCACAGTACGATGTGAGGACAAGAAGGGAGAGTTCCTGTGCCACTGTTTCACAGGCTGGGCTGGAGCCCGGTGTGAGAGAGGTACCCTGTCTCTCAAATCGCTACCTTTATTTCAGTTCAAGTTCAAGTTTGTCTGTCCAGCCATATACAAGTATACAGAGCAGAGAGATCTCGTTCTCCAGGTCTACGGTGCGAATACAGACAGACACTGACAAGACAATGCTATAGACAGTGTAGACATAGACATTTCTGACAGGGTACATACAGTGCAATGTGCATAGTGCAATTTACTTTACAGGATTGTGCAAAGAACAGTGCAGTGTAACTGGGAGTTGATCTTGAGTACGGTTATTTGAAAATATTTTTATGACAGACGCAGGTGGTGAAGTGCATCTGCTAAGCAGGACAACGTTTATCATTACAAGAAGCAGCTGATATAATCCGAAAGAGCATTTTCGGTAGTTTTTATCAACTGATTCGGGGAAGCTGATAAGCAGGTATAATTACTGCATTGCTAATGTCCAGTTCGAAGGCGAGGTCAGAAGGAAGGGTCAGTCTGTGTGTTATTTTGTTGTGCATTGAATGTTTCTTTTCTCAATAGATGTAAATGAGTGTGACCGCAGGAATGGGAACTGTGAGCACCTTTGTTCCAACACCCCTGGAAGCTATAAGTGCTCCTGTAAGCTTGGATATTCCCTTACAGACAGGCACAGGTGTGCTGGTAAGGACCTTTGAAAAATCTTTGCTCAACATTTGAAGAGTAGGTACAGTATAGCATTGGTACTGTATCTACAGTAAGTAGGTATGCTGTGCATTTATGCAAATGATATGACAGAACTCTTTGAAAAAAGTCGTACTGAAGTTTATTTAGTAGTTAAATATAAATTAATGTGTCTATCTGTGTTTCAGTCAACAATGAAATGTATATACCGTGTGCTAGTGTATCATGTTATGTTGGGGTGTCCTGCCCTTGAGAATATAAAGGATCTTTACAGTTCACCTGGCAGCTTTTAGATTGCATTAAAGAGAAGCAAATTGCAAGGTGGGTATATTAAAAAAACAAAAACACCTTTTTTTCCCAGATGTGGATGAATGCAGAGAAATCCCAGGTGTCTGTGGAACGGCATGGTGCAAAAACCTGCGGGGCTCCTATCAGTGCCTTTGTGATGAGGGATACACGTACGACAACGTCACAAAGTCCTGTCTAGGTGCGCCTTTTCTTCTGACCTGATGCTAACAAAGAATAGTAGAAAATTACTAGTGTAAATACTGCTTTATAGATGAGCGTTCGCTCCGATTATTAGATGGTACTGTGGTACTGTACAATGTCATGCTAAACTTTTCATTTTCAGAAGAGCTAGCTTTTTATTTTTAAAGAAACGATGGTTCTTGCCTAACCCCTTGTTTTGATAGTGGATGGTTGATAAACATGTAACAGAAACAGAGCTACGCATCTGTTTTGCAAGCTGCAGCAGGAGCTCCTTGTTTTATGTAGGCGTTTGAGGAATAAACTGGAATTTCATATTCGATATGCTGCGTCTTCCTCTAAACGGCAGTCTAGACTTGGCATTTCTCAATAGGCTACATACCGTAGTTTAACATTGACAACACTGTTTTTTTATTTTTGTAAACGGGGAAAAGTTGTTCTTTCAACTGGGAATCATTTCACTTATGTGATGAAATTAAAATTTATGAACAGAAAGATGAAACTTCTCGCATTTAGTGTCATGTTGGGTTTTGGTGTTACCGATACCTTTGAAAGGTCATACTTGATTTGGAATTATTTTATTGGTCACATGGCTTGATGTGCATTACAGAGGTTAATCGCCAGTTATCAATTGGCAGTTTCTTTTTATCCTGTTTATACTGTAAATCCTGAGTTTAGTGGAAACGGCTTTGAAATCATTGGAAGTGCTACATTGCTCAGTGACTTACATTTTGAAATTCATTACAGCGATCTCCAAAACGTAAAGGAAAAACAGAAAAAAAGCAGATTTCTCAAAAAAGCCTAAAGGAGTGTTGTGAATATCGAGGAGCAGGAGATTGGACGCACAGCCTTTGAAAATAGAGACAAACTGCAAAGAATCAGTTACAACCATGACGTGTTAAAGAATCCTAAAATCAAGCAGTAAACTTAATTATCAAAACACCTAAAAAAGGATATGATAAATTCTTAACTGGAAAAAGCCATTTTTTTTCTTTCTATATATGTATCCATCAATAATATGAAAGTGGAGGTAAACTGTCATAACATTCTTTTAAGGGATTTTGAAAACTTTTCTTTTGCATGTGTTTACCTTTAGGACACCAGTGTACAGTATATACAGTCCAACACTGACATAAGACTACGACTTATTTGTGGCAAGTTTTATTTAACGTTTCAGATACCTCGTCAATTTGCTTGTTTTGTTCCAGATGTGGACGAGTGTGCAACAGGAGTCTGTTCAGAGATGTGTGTAAACACACCTGGGACCTATCAGTGCTACTGTGATGGAAGAAAGGGATTGAAGTTAGCACAAGATTTGTCAAATTGTGAGGTACCTTGATCTGAATTTTTTTTTGTTTTTTGAATGACGGTACTGTTTCCATTTAAATACTGTATTAGAAAAGCACATCTGTGTTCCTCAGTTGTATGGAGTTTGTGTTCTATATTCCATATCAGCTGAACTATTTTGGCACAGTATACTGCATGGACTAATCCTAAAAATCTGTCCAAGAATGGTCCTCTTTGACATTTTGTCTGATGGTAAAAAAGTGCATGGAGTTCCTTTTCGACTTTCACTGCTCATATTAAACATTATTTAACTGTATGTACCATTCATGTTCACAGTGGCATAGTGAAACGCACAGTCATGTTGTTCATACAGTACATGAAGTGTGCGTGTTCTCTGTCGGTGTAGTAGATAATAAAGCAGCGACAGATTTTTGTGAAATAAACCCAACAGCATGCAGATAAACAGAGGCAGGCAGGTGAGCAGCTGTATGAGCAAACACCAGGCTGATTGTAGCAACAGGGCCAAAGGACCGGAAGTAAACCCAGTGAAGAAAATTAAGGTCAAAGCAGGGCCCAGAATTCAGGAAGCAATCTGTGAGAACTTAGGAACTCAAGGAGAAGTTTTAGATGTAGCAAACTGCCAGCTCGAGGCTGATGTAGTCTTGAACCACCTGAGGTGGGCGTGATGGATAATTGCCTCCAGGTGGTACAAGGCTCCTGTCAAATTAATTACCACAGTGACTGGCACAGTGTCAAAACTACCGTACTATTGTAAACAGGTTTACTTTCCAATTTAATGCAACAAACATTGGAGTTTATGTAATTTTAACATTGTGCATTATGAGTGAATTGTAATTATAATCTGGATACTACATTAATGAATGAACCTGGCACTTTTGTGGTTTTTTTTTAAATGTCTCACATACTGTATATTCCTTTTCATTATACCTCCTTCCGAGAGCTAAAATAAGTCTCTGTGTGCTTGTTAACTTAGTTTGAATCATCAGCATTAGTGAGGGTTCATTGTACAGAAGGACAATAGGAATTCACCAAGCAAAGGACCTGCCCTGCTGTGGTATTATAATGAGTGCTGCTTCTCCGAAACCTATTCAGCATGAACAGCCAGATTTTATTTTTTAGAGTTTTTAAACCCCAGTGCTGGCACGTGACTACATCAAGGAACACATTCAGTAGCTTGACGAATGTGATGATTACAGACCTGGAGACCCACAGTCACACACTACAGTAGCATGAAGGCTGACCACTGCAAAGCCACCCCTGCTCTGCAGACCACAAGTGGTGGCTCCAGCCGGCGTGGAAACCGCTGTCACAGCAGCGTGCCCTGCCATGCATTGTCCTTCACATCAGAACAAAAGCATCAGTTTCGGGGGATTACACTGACACGGGACACAGAAATGGAGCTAACCTCACTCTGTTAAAGTGTGGTCCCTAATGACACGCTGGTGCAAAATGAAAGCTGCTTTGTGGACGAGCAGCTGTGTTTCTGAAAGTGAATCTGTGGTTTAATGTCTCATTCTTCACATTCTGTGGACTGAACTGCTTATTATGTTGCAACTACAACCAGTAAATGTTTATTGCTTAAGCCATTCCAAGGTCCTTTGAGCTGAAAAGGGAATCTTTACTTTTCAAAATAGCACTAACTTTAATGTATGTAGCACCCAATAAACAAAAAAAGAGATGACTAGTTTCTGCCCATGGTAGTGTCACCATTTTTCTGTCTGTTTTCAGAGCATTGAACCATGTGTGCCCCTGAATAACGAGAGAAACTCAAAGTCCCTCTACCTAGGCAGGATGTTCAGCGCTGTCCCCGTAATTAGGCTGCGTTTCCGGAGGAGAGTGAAGATTGGGTGAGCAATGTGGAGGACGTTTTTTCTTCTCTGGATTGGACCCACTGACACACGGAGTGCTTGCATTCCCTTCCGAATTGAAAAGCACTCCATGAATGTGTTCAGTTCTCAAAGCTTTGGTGTTGAGGTTAATTAATTTTGCCTCTCATTTTGGGCATGTTTTTTCCCCCCAAAAGTTTTAATTTCCAAGGAAATATCTTTGTCAATACTGTTCACTTCCCCTTATCCATGTGTTACGCGTGAACTAAACCCAGGGAGACTTCAACTTCTTGAACAATTTTTATTTACACTGATTTGAGAAACTTACAAGGCTTCGGCCTTAGACTCCTTTCAGACTAATTTGTGCCTTGATGTTTACTCTTCTTTGATTGATTCTTTGAAACTGTATTAATTGCTAAAGCAGGAACATATTTTTTGTGGAAGAAAAACAACTTTGAGCTGAATTCTAATTTTATTTGAAATATATGGAGTCTGGAGTATACTCATTGTACTGGTTTCAGGGTGCTACTGAGCATAAAATTTACATTTTGCATAAAACTGTCCATGATAATGAAGAGATTTCTAGTGTGGTGTGTGTGTGTGAAACTTGCATTTCTGTGGACATCACGGGGTGTGGGCTCCAGTGATCTCACCAGAAAAACCTCCTACCTTTAGGTTCACAGCAGAGTTTGACTTGAGGACGTTCGATCCAGAGGGGGTCATCTTCTTCGCTGGTGGCCACTTGAACAGCTCATGGATCGTTCTGGAGCTGCACCAAGGGAAGCTGCAGCTGCAGCTCAAATATGGGCCGGTCAGCCGTGTCACTAGAAGTGGGGCAAAGGTGAACGATGGACTTTGGCACAAAGTGAGTACGGTTTTCAGGTCCCACCCGTGGGATAAGTGTGCTGTGTGGGAGAGGTTCCCACCTGGCTTTGTGTTCCATTTTAATCAAGTATCTCCCTTTAGCCAGTCCACTGCAGACCTTAGCATGTCTGGAACATGTCAGGAGTAGAGCACCTGCTGCTGTCCTGATGCCAGATCCCCTTCACTGCGTATCAGTGCAGCACAGCCGTCCTGCTGTCCTTGTAGTTGCTCTTTAGGAAGAAAGCTCTGGTTTCTTCTATATGAATTCAAAACTCTACTAATTCCAGATTCTTTTTTCACTCTGGACTGGCTGTTCTAGGAGGCAAAAAATGCAATGCAAAGGCATTGCTAACTCAGTAGACAACCACTTGTTCCTGTGCTGATGTTAATTATCCTGTGTGTGTTTTTGCACACAACCACATGATTATCTATTTCTACTCTTAATATTGTGTGTATATTGAGCCTTTTGATTTATGTAAATTATATTCTTGCACTCTTCTCCCTAGATTTCTGTGGAAGAGCAAGGGAAGAACTTGATTATTAAAGTGGACAGGGAGGCAGTGATGAAGATCGCAGTGAATGGAAACCTCTTCACCCTAAAGAAAGGCTTGCATGAGCTCAATGTCACCGTTGGCGGAGTTCCTTTTAAAGAGGGAGAACTTGCAGAGATGGTAAGTGTGGACTTTTGTTCAAGGCCTACGGTTAGTCATGTAATATGAGGATAAGTCAATAAGTGAATTAGTGAATGATCCACCAAATGCATTTTACGGGTTTCCATTTGGCCAGACAGATGTACAGTAAATGCTACAGTGCAACGTTTCACTGTAAAGTGGGATTGGGAATGTGGTTTTCCAAACCGAGGTCCTTATTGCAGCCGTCTGTGTTAGTGGGCACATGCAGTCATGTTGCACAGTGAGCTGTGCAGTTCTGGATCTCTCTCCATCGAATTATTTGCATTGTATGTGGTGAACACTTTATAGAAATTCACTTTTTGATTTGTCCTAGTTGAGTAAAACCTAAGGAGTTCAAATCTTGATCCTGCCTTGTCTGTGCAGTCAAGTTAAATGTAGCTTTACACTAGTTATTGCTAGAGCCCCTGTTTATTACATAGGGAATGTAGAGCGCGCTGTAAAGAAGTGAGTATGGGCGCTGACCTCTAAACTACCATGGATTCATGAGAGGATTCATATTGTAAAGAAAGATATTCCTCCATATAGGTTGCAGGGAGTCTGAATCTTTTGGCAGAAAGCAAGATTGTGTGTCTGGTTCCATTCACTAAGACAACTGATGATGATGTATCTGCTGACTCCATCAAAACTCATTCCTGATTCAAACCAGTTGTTTCAGCCCTGGTACAGCGTATTTTACTCCATAGACAAAAAGCCCATTTAATCCCTTAATAGCAAAAGCAGCTACCCTTTCATGCCAGCCCAGGGCCAGTTTCTCTGCCAGCCTTTGGTTTTACAGCAGTGAATGGAAATACATTTAACGATGTGATATCAGCCTGCAGTACTGTCCGGACATAACGAGCTTTACAGCTACCCACAGCCCCAGTGTGCCAGGAAACCTGAGTCACAGCAGGGTTCTGTGAGCTTCCTCACGGCACTGGTACAATAAGAGTTTATCCACACGAACAAAAGGGGCATTGGGAAATTATAATTTTATACACTGATGTTCCCTACTGTCCTGAATGTATAATAGGAAGCAATAACGATAGTGTATTCCTGATGATCTTTTCTCAAAATTAAACGAATAGCTATATGACACGGCACCATTTGAAAAGGCTAGAAAAGAGTACGCTCCACATTCCTCTGTTGATTACCTAGTGCTTCCAGATAGGGACTTGTGCAATATATTTTTATATTTATAATGTGCAATACAACGTTTTGTGTACTGTTCTGTTTTTTTTTTAGTATATTCTGTACTGTGAGCAACTCTTTTTAGTGCACTTCTCACCGATTGTATTGAATGTATTGTATTATTGTATAATTGTATAAGTGTTGACTGTGTTAAGCTGCTGTTGCACTGCAATTTCCCTCACGGGATCAATAAAGTATCTATCTATCTATATCCTCAGACAAGTCATGGGGGGAAAACATAGGTGAGTGAAACTATGATATTAACCTTCTTGTTACCTGCCTGCCTTGCAAGGGTAATGTGGCTCCATCAATACTTCCATGAGCTGAAGGTCAAAGCAGTTTTTTCATAGAACCGCGTTCCCAACTTGCGAGTGAGGTTGCTTACGGATTTGTCCCGCAAATTCAAGTGAATTTGCTACTGCTGTTGTACGTGCTGCGGTTGACAACTGATGTCCGAGAGTACTCGGAGTGGGCATGTCCATCCAACTGCTCCCTGCAGTAATGGCACTCCTTGCTATAGATCAACCCGCGTCTGGACGGGTGTATGAGGGACTGGAAGTGGCTGACCGGAGAGGATACGTCCATCGCGGAGACCATCAGAATGAACGAGAAAATGCAGTGCTTCTCGCAGGAGGGCAGGGGCTCCTACTTCCCCGGCAGTGGCTTTGCACTGTTCAACGTCAGCTATGGTACGCGTCTCTGCGGTCGATACAGTGGGGCTGTCTCTGTCCGACTCTGGGTGCAGAACTTGGCAGTGAGACCCGTCCTCCTAGTCTTGGCAAAGATGACGCATTCTTCAACCTTTGCCAGTTTTATTTCTCCCCACTTTGAAGTTCTTGAATAAATAAATATCATTAGTAAGGCCTGTCTATTTTTGCCAAGAGTTTGTAACGTCCAAGACATATTTCTGTAGTGACGTTAGGTTTGCAGGACTTCAGAAGCCAATTGAAATGAAAGTATTATATACAGAATATCAGGCACATGGGTGGCATTGCTGCCTCATAGCACAGGGGCCCAGGGTTCATGGGGTGCTATCTGTATAGTTTGTTCCCCCCCCTCCACAGCCCTAAAACATACAGTTAGGTCAACTGGCTCCTTGGGAGAATTGGCCCTAGGTGGGAGCTGTTCAATGTTCAATGTCCAACAACTTGTAAAACTTCAGGTTCGAAATAAAATAGGCTTTTTGCAAAGCGCGTTATGAAATCGCATTGCTGTGTGAACTGTACACACTTTTTACATGTCAAGATACTTTGTGCTCGATGTGTCATATCTGGTTTTTGAATGTCGCGTGCTCTCCTAGGTGCAAACTGGTCTGTGAGTTTGGAGTTGACCGCCCTGCCCTCCTCCAGTTCGGGAGTGCTGGTCGCCATCGTCAGCGGTGACCGAGTTCTCCTGTCCGTGGCTCTGACTGACTACCACCCCGGAACGGGTCTCAGGCAGCAGGTGAGCAAGAGCCTTGGTACTGTCCTTCCCCGTCAGTGCCTTGGGCTTCCTGCCGGTGCTTGGCCGTGTCAGATACACCTGTCTGGTGACAAGCCTCCATGTAGGGGCTGCCAGAATGGCGGGGTGCAGGTGAGCCTTACTGCGGCTTTAGCCCCGGGTTCTTCGTTAGCCAGCTGTGGTCGGGATTCCCCGGATCAGTGTTTTTGTCTCGTTGTATGACCAGGATCCCCCTTGGGGCTTGCTTGGCTCCTGTGATCCAGCATGTTTTCGGTCAGGTGTACCCTGCTCCTCAGGCCAGCGCTGGCTCTGCTGTAGGACGCTGTGAAGCCTACAGTGTGCCGGATAGCAGCAGCGGTTATGTGCTCGTTTGCTCCCTTATACTTGTTCTTAGCAGTGGGTTATTTGAGTAAGATCTAGGGAAATTCAAATTTAGAGAGATGTACAGAAATGGCCATAACTAATGATGTCATATGTGATATGCACCGCACTACAGCTATAACAAAGTGTTCTTGGAAAAAGAAGTTGTGAAACTGTCAAATGTAAGTTTCTATATCTTTTTCCTCCTTGAATAGCCTTGTGCTGGAAATATGCCAGTCCTTTTATTTGTTGTTTGGAAATCAAATTTGATTGAATTGAAAAATATTTAACCAATTGATCAGATGAATTCTACAACACTGCCAAATAATGCAAACAGCTGTAGAGTATAAATGTATATTTCAGTTAAACCTATAGTATCTTTGGTCAGACTGCTTAATGTCTGAAAAAGGGTGGTGGTATCTCATATCTGAAAAATCTGGGTAGTTTTTCGCTGCTCATTTGAGATTTAGGTTTTGTTTAGTTTTAGAATTTATTATACATCTGTGCTTTGGAGCCAAGTTGAGTACAGTAAAGAATCACTGCAAAGTTTTGACGAGTCTTGGCCAAGGTCAGATTGGCTAGGGAGTGCAATTACTGGGAGCGTTTGCTGTTCTGCAGTGTGCTTCACACAGATTGATGGTGTGCGTAGTGTCTCGGTGTCTGTCCGTTGTAAGTGATTGTGACAGGAGATGAAATGTCGGTGATTTTCCTCGCGTGATAGTTTTTCGCCTCTTGTGTTTCAGCATGTGCTGCTGTCGATGGCCGATGTTATTGTTTCCAGTGTTCAGATGAGGACGTGCGACTCTCAGCCGCACGCAATCAACGTCACTGTCGGAAATAATGTCGCAGTCCTGGAGGTGGACAGAAGGAAAGGACGAACTGATGTCAGCCCGGTTCAGCTGGGGGAACGTCTCTCTCTCCTTGACAGAGATATGCAAGGTCCTGTCAGCACCTACATAGGGGGCCTGCCAGGTGAGCTGGACTGCCTGTATACACATTTACACACAGAGTATTCTTCCCTCTTGGTGTTCAAGCAAGTGCAGCTTATTCGCTTTTCAAGGAAAGCAAGTCTGGACCCCAGCAGGACAGTGTAGTTCCATCCTTTGTGCACTCTGTGTAATGCCTTTAGTATATTTCACAGCTCCCACTGTTGTGGGATAAATCTTTTTCTGTTGCACTGCAACAGGTTTTCTAAGCGTTGAAGGAAACTGCAAACAGGCACTTCCTTCACTTTCATAGTCAGTCTGGGCTCGGGTTGCAGACTGGCTCCCCCTGCAGGACTTAAGGAGACCTGCAGAAAAACATGCTAACTGTCCTCCAGCATTCTGGGTTGTCCGCTCTAGCCCTCCAGCAACTACAGGCCCAGTAAGCTGGACCTGACTGATTGAGCTGAAGTCACATGTGTGACTTGGGCGGTGTCATGGAAATTAAAACGATTGTTATTCCACCCTTGAGTTTGCAGTGTCACTCTTCAGGTCCTTGGTAGCTTTCAGCTCCCTCAGTGGTGCATCTCGTCTGTTCAAAATCAAGCATGTCCCACTTGGTTTTGGAAAGTTCAGGCTCAGCAGGCACCTGCTGAGAGCATCAGCAACTAGGAAATCAAAGACCATCTCCAAAGGACAGATTTCCTCTCTCCTTTACTGAAGTATATTACCTTGTAACCATCTACCAACTGCTGTTTGCTGGCATGAGGAGAGATATCCTTTGGTTAGTTTTAATTATGATGGGATTGGTAATGCTGATGTAAGAACCAGAGTCTTCCACCATACTTTCTCCATTGAGAAAGATGTTTGTTGGCAGGTTGCCCCAGACAGCCACTAGCCTGAAAGACACACCCGTGGCTATCGCACAAGCCCCCAGCCATGATTATTTTAAATTACAAGTGGTAACTCTTGAGGCCTTTTAGAAGTGATCAGTTTTGGGAGCTTCATTGCTTATGAAGCAGTTCAACATGTCTACATCAGAAAAGGGATCAAAGCTGAAACTCACCAGGGGCTCCCACTTCGAACTCTTCCAGATGTGAAAGACCTGTCTGTAAAGAGGTTTAGTAAGGGATTATAACTGGCAGGTCTCCTTCCTGGAGCTGCTGCTGCTCTGTGCTTCACAGCTCTTGCTCAAGGCTACTTTCAGGGTTTGGCCTGATTTACTCCTGAAGTCTGCGCTAGCTCCAAGCTGTCATTGTTATCCTTCCTCTGTCATCGTTATCCTTCCACAGCAGTGGCAGCAGAATCCTCCATGCATCCCTCTCCTGTCAGGCTGCTGTCTCTTCCCGTGCTCCAATCCCAGTATCCCAGTTCTCGTGCCTGGTGTAACACGGGCTTTTCTTGGGCTTGATCAGTATTGGAATGATAAACCCACAGGTGAGGTAAAGCGGAACTGGAAAAAATGAAGCTGGTCTATGAGCTCCAGTTCTTGCTTGTAAGTCTACTCTTTGCCATTGGTGGCAGTGTGGTCCAGAGTATTTGGTGACAGTAGGCTGGCTTGCTTGCCTTTGGTGCTGCTGTCTGGGATGTGAATCCCTTTTGGGACCTGACTAAAGAGCTTTCAGAAGTGCATCAGTAGCCTCCAGGTGATTTTCCTGCACATACAGCTCAAGAACGTGCAGCAGATGGGACAAGGGCTGTGCAATGTTTATGTGGGGTATATCTAGCTATAGGACCTTTTGGAGATGAGGCAACATGCTTGTTTTCAGAGCTTGAGACCAGGATTCAAGTCCCAGTTAACTACCCCCTTAAATTTCAATGTAACTAAACATAACCTGAAATTTAAAAAATCACACCATAAAACTGAAAGTGTACCATTTGTTTTGAAAGATTAGGTATTGTCAATAACAGGTTAGAAAGAAAACTGAAAGCAGGAAGACCACATGCTCCTTTTTCACTTTCAGAAATATGAGCATTGTTGAAGTATTTATGTTTTAAAAGCCAAGTCATTTCTCTTCACAAACTTCCAGTCTGGTAAATGGGAATGTGTAAGTAAATCAAGACTAGTCCTAATCGTACAAGACAAAAGCTCAGATTGTCATTCTCTGTGTAAATTGTAATCAGATGATAGGACAGTTTATTGCTGTGTATTGCCAGCTTTAAGAAATATAATTCACAGACTTGATGAGGATCTGCTCGGTGAGTTTTATCTGACAGATTACTGAAATGTAGTTTGAGGAAACATTTGAACGAATTTGAGTAAATAAGAATTTACTCACAAATTCTGTGTACCAGAGAAGCTCCTGAAAATCATCCCTGTTCAATGTTTAGATTCCACTTTAACATCTCAGCTGTTTCACTGCAGCAGGATGAACATTTTAAGATTTTTAGCTCTACACAAACCAAGTTAAAAAAATCCATGAGTTTCTGCTGAAAAGCTATCAACTTACACTGGCCTTGTGCCCAGTACACACAGAAACCATATGAAAATAAGTTAGAAATGAAAGGCAGCCATTTCACTTAGAAAGCTGCTCTTCACACATGTATGAGTCTTTCATGCATTTTTGCTTAAAACAGCTGGTTTATTCGGCGCATTTTCATGCAGGGCTCAAGGTCTTCACTCTGTCCTGAAAAGCAGGTTTGACATTGAAACGATGGGTTCTCAGAATGAGGCAGAGGGGCAGGCAGGTTGTTCTGCTTGAGGAATGGAGGTCCATTTCTGTGCTTTCCTCTTGTGTTTTTTTTCTCCAGTGGATGTGCCCGTGATCTCTACCCCGGTCTCTGCTTACTTCAGTGGCTGCATGGATATGCTCATCAATGGAAACGCTGTGGATCTGGATGAAGCTCTCTACAAGCACAGCGACATTCGTTCCCATTCCTGCCCTTACGCACTAGAACCCCACTTCTCTCAGCTTTAGCCAGACCCCCTCTCCCCCAGTGTTTGTGGTTCATATTCTTCAAACTGATGTATTTTATTTATACTAGAATATTTACTAGAGCACTGCACCGATTTCTGAAGAGCTACTGATAAGGTTATCTGCAGGAAAGATTATTTTTGCTGTAATATATGTGTAAATATTTCTTATCGAAAGGTTTTAAGCACGTGGTCTTACTTTTAATAAGTTAAAACACCTAATGCAGGGCAGCCAACAGCTGTGCTTGGGCTGTAGTGGCTTCTGTAGTGGAGGTTCTGCAGTGGCATCATGAGAATGGCGGGGGGGGTTAGCACTGTGTTTTTTTCAAATAAATGCTAGGTAATCCACAAAGGTTTACATTATCCCAGTATAACCTCAGCCTTTCTGTGGTTGTTTTTAAAAATAATTTTCTGCAATCTATAATTTTACTGATCTTGTGATTTTGAGGGTCTCAGCAATCGGGTGCCGCCAGTCTAGGGTCCTTCAAACACTGCTGTGGCCTCACATCCTTTCAAGTACTCTGAGGGTTATTTAACATTCTGCGGTTCACTATGTCAAGTCCGGGGGGGTGTTGCTGCTCATCCCTGTGATGATTCCGACTGAATTCCACCACGAAACGCCCTGAAAGGTGGGGGAGACCTTTTCGGCATCGTGGGTGGGAGTGTTCATTTCTAACTGTGCGTTTACAAATGTAATATCTCTGGATTTCACGGCAGAACTGGCTGGTCACAACCTACCACCTGCTGAGTTCTGCGGGCGCGACGCCCTTGGCCGGAGGAAATAAGAAAGCGGTCTTGCTGCGCTCACCATTCTCCTGTTTCCTGTAGCTCCCTGCACTCCCATGAAACTGTTTTGTCCTTCCCACTCACTACTGCAGTCATACTGTTACCATTCAGATTGCTTCGGGATTCCCTTGTATGTGGGCTCTCGGACATGTCCCTTTGAGAAACCTGTATTGTTTATTTTATATCTCCTTGCTGTAGAACACCCGATATGATCTTTGTCATCGAGGTGAGTGATACTGTATGGTGTTTTTTTTTTACATAAAGCATTGGTAAGTGAAACTGCATTGAAAATAAACAGTTAAAAGGTTATGCTTGTGCATTTGTTCACCCTGGGGCAAGGAGAGAGCTTGGCGCTCCATACTGATTGCAGTTTTCCCATGTTTAACTGGTTCTACACTTGTTTCTCTAACCAGCGTACAAGGGAGCCATTAATGAGATTTTACATTTCTGTGAGGTTTTTTTACACCATTTCACAAAAGGCTTAGGCTTCTGTCACATCAGGAAAGGATGTGAGTTCTTTTTTTTTTTTTTAAAAGGCTGCCAATTCAGCCAGTCAGCCCCCACCCATGATGAGGCACACTGGTTTGTTTGTTCCCAAAGCATGTAACTTTGCTTGACAGTAAATGTCAAGGTTTAGGTAATGGCGAGTATTTGATTCTTCAAAATCTTTAAAGTATGGTAGCAACAGTGCGTTCTAGCTTAATAACTGAGATGATTACCTGAAGAAAGGATGTAGCTACTTTCTTTCCTTTACGGGGAAAAAAAGTCATTATCTGCTGATAGCCATTCTCCTTGTTCTGTTTACAATAATTTTCTTTGTTACATCCAACAGTCAGCAAAATACTATTGAAATCCACATAAAAGCTTGAATTTTATTATAGCAGTCAGAATTCTGGACAACATTTGAAACCTGGAAGATCAACAGGAATTCACTGGGAACTACTGTAGTGGCAAAGATTCAGTATTGCGGGTCTTGCAAACCTTTAATTTAAATCTGCTCGAGGTCATGAAAGCCATCAGCTGAAAATTGGTCAATGCTTAAATAGAAACAACTGGAAGTGTGAAATACAGTAGATTTCCTTTGGGCGTAAAATGGCACCGCTGTTCACAGTGACCACTGACGTATTTCAATCATGCGGTATGGTGATTAGAGATGGAGCCTTGAAGTTTAGGATTTATTATTCTAATTTATTATTTTTTTCTGGAAAGTGTTGAAGATCTCTTTGCTTTATTTTTCCATTAAGAGTACAGAACAGTTCAATCGAAATGTGCTTTATTTAAAAAACCAACAGCAGGAATGTAGAATTGGGATGCCTTCTAGAAATAACCTCCAGATTTATCTTTATTGTTTGATTTCTCAGTTTCTGCATCCATTAAAGTTTTAAAGGGCACCTTGGGGCCTGTTCTCAGAATGGGTCCCCTAGTCTGCAATGCAATGTTGTGGTATTTTAAGCAGCTGTTAAAGTTATGACATAACGAGTCTGCTTTCTTAGTTGCTTTATTTAATGTGGTGCCACCCAATTTACTCTTGGCCTAGCTGAACAACTCCGTTCGCTGTGTAATACACATTGCAAAAATTAAATTTTCATTCAATATTTTAAGATGTTTACTTACAGTTTGAGATTAATCCACAAGATTTACTTATTTTGTGTGTGTTCATTACACTGAAGGGCATTCAAGTCATAGCAAATCATCATGTGGCATATCTTAAAATGAGAAAATACAGCCCCAGTCCCAATATACACTTTAATGTAGATTTAAATGTAACACTCTCACAGTCAAAACCAAATTTGAAGCCAAACACCACAGGTTAGATTCAAGTTTTTGATTTTAAAATATTTACTATTTTGAAAAGGGTGCTTTTCTTTTGCTGCTGTTCTTTATGGGACAGTTGCATTCCCGGAAAAAGGCCGCAACTCTTGAACGTGATGGAGCCTAATTGTAAAGATTTAACTGAGCTGAAATATCCCAGTTTTCGTGACGTGATCTAGGACCGTTCTGTATGGGAGGTATATTGTAAACTGAGTGGGCCAGCGGGGCCTACCTTGTGTCGGTTACCGCGCCAACAGAGCCCTGTGCTTTAGGGGACATCTGGCGGGGTCTTCAGCATGCAGGCTCTGGGACAGGGAAGGAGTCTGAGAGCCCCACTAAGAGAGAGAAGGCTTGGAGTCGGCTAGGCTGCTCACATGAGAAGTGAAATGGTTACTACACAGGCCACCTGCGTGTTCAGGACACGGTTACCCTCCAGTCTTCAGAAACGTTGGCGGAGGTGCTCAGGAGGCATAAGGAGGCGGTTTCTCGAAAGGGTTATAGGAGGGCGCGTACAGAGACGGCGCGTTGGGCGTCAGCATGTAGCCGGACGAGGTCTGCGACGAGGCCTGCGACGGGGCCTGGCTCTCTTCGGGCAGGGAGGCCTCAGAGGAAGCCGGGGGCTGGTAGTTGCTGTGGTGCTACGGGGAGGAGAAAGGACAGACATCAGAGGGCCGTCGCCGATGGCCACCAAGACTTCCAACATTCCAGGGGCTGTGATACAATGAAAACCGGACATGGAAAAACAAAACGGCCCCAAGTGTCTGTCATCCCCTAAAATAGCAGGGTGTGGGTGTGTGAAATAAATCAAATGAGTCGGTCTAGCCAAGGCCCCCAAGGACTGTCCTGGAGACACCCAGAATTAGTTTACTTCTGAACGAGTAACGCACATCATGTTTTAATATAAGTCTGGAATAATAATCTAAGTATGAGACAAGCAGTGTAAGATTTATTGAACGCTTGTCGGCATGCTGAAGTTGAGATAAGGCTATATCTGAAGGTAATTATCCTCTTCCCCCCCCGGCCTTTTTACCGAGTTCCCATGGCCTCGCGGTAGCGCAGAGTGATTGCCAGAGAAGCGAACACGCTTCAGTGTTTCTGGCAGTGATCCCTTCAGGAGGTGGGACAAGATCTTCAGCCATCATAACGACGACAAGAAAGTGAATGTCTGGGGGCATGCCTGGAGGCCCACGGCGCAGTTTGGGCCCAGCAACCGACGCAGGTGGCGGGGTACCTGCAGTGGCAGAGGGTAGTTGGGGTAGGCAGGCAGGGCCTGTCCGGATGGGCAGAATCCAGCGTAGGTGAGGACGTGCTGGGTGGGGTTGTACAGGATGTGAGGAGGAGGAGCCGAGCTCTGGGAGGCCTGGGTAGCTGGGGTCTGCAAAATGAACCAGAAGCATAAGCGATTAACCCTTTCTTCCAAGTACGCACTTAGTGGGGACCAAGAGTCCTTTTATCTCAAGGCCCTTTTTAAAAGTGATGTGGCTTGTAAAGCTGAGCCAGAATATCATATACTGTAGGACGTCACAGGATATAACATCACAGGAATGGGACTGTTGGTTAATATACAGTTGCTGATAGCACAAAATGTGAGAAAAGTCCACTACAGGGCTAAGGCATATTCAACTGGCATTACGCATACTGTAAATGAAAGTTAATTTCATTAACCTTAGTTTCATTACGTTTAATTAAACTTAGTTTCGCCTATCAGAAAATGTTAAACACGCACGCGTCTGATGTCAGTATGAGGAACTGTGTTTCTCTGGTCTTAATGATTATTAGTTACTTGTGTTTTGCCTGGCCTAGTAATTAAAAATTGAAATTGTAGTGTGCATTCAGAATGTTTTTGGTGCTGTAGTTTACAACACAATGTCCAATTTCTGCTAGATGAGCACACACAAAATAATATTTTGTCAACAAAAGAATTTCAGAAGCCCTCCCTAAGCTATTTCTTCATTCACTTTTACATCAGTGAAGGGAAGCTGATATAACAGCCAAATCAAGCACCTTTATTAAATATCTTTAATCTCACCAACAGCATGAAACAAAATAAGTGACACAGCTCAGTTGCCATGGTAAAATAGTTGATTTGGTGACTTGAGAACCCTCTGAACTGCACAGTAATTATTGTCCACTCTAATAAATCTTCAGTCTGTCATTAATATAATGAACTTAGAGGCACATCAATGGGTTCCTCTAAATTAATCAGTGCCAGTTTGGAAAATATTATTTCAGTCACGATGTTGCACTGCCGTTAGAGCAGCTCTGATTAACAGCTGATGCAATCTTGATACAGGAACCGAACTGCACTCAGAGCCAAAAAAAGGACTTGCTTACTTGGTTCGAACTTATCTGTAAGTCAAAAATGTGTGGGTGTTCTGAATTGTTGTCTCTTAATATCTCCGGGATTTTGTTTTCCTTTTTAACATCACTCCATTTGTGAGGAGCAAGCTTCTTGTGGAAGACACATGTATGCCTCCCCCCCAATTCTGTGATTCTTAAACTTCCCGATAAAGTGCCAAAGTGTGTGGTGTGCTTTAACACACAGACTAATCTCATCTCATCAGCTAAGGGCCATTAAGGACTTTCTTGCATGACAATTAAAAAAGTAACGGCAATGTAACACAGTTTCATTTTAGTAAGTAAGTATGATGGCTTTCTTATATTTCAGCAAAGTTTTGCTTTTGCAATTATATTTTTTTGTAAAAATGGAAAATAACAGTATGCATATTTTGAATATACTGTAGCACTTTATTCTACGTCTTAGATAAGACGAATGTGTTGCTGAATTGTGATTTGAAATACAGCGTTTTGAAAGAGAAGTTGTCTAGTTTCTTACAATATGTAGATGGTTGTGATGTGTTTTGATTTTGCTGCCGGAGGTTTTTAAAAACGAGAGATAGGGCTGTAGTTGTGATTGCATAATTCGCTTAATTACGGTCGGTCGTTATTAATACGTCAGATTAAAAAAAAAGATTAATTGCTGTGAAATAAATTTTATTTTTCTATTTAGAGGATATGAGAGATCAATTGCATGTGCAATAGTTTGTGAAACAATTACAAATTCTGTTGTTTATCACAATGCAATCTAAGTCTGAGAGTGTTGTAACCGTGCTAAATCCCCTGACAGACGCCGGCGTCCGGAACTTCCAGTAGGGGAGTGTGACGGTCTTTTGAAAGACCAGGGGCGCATCTGGCATGGACTGACTTCAGAGCAGCAATACATTTTTTTTAATTTAGAATGTTGCTTACAGCTGTCATCACTACATGAACAATTTAAACACAACATGCCTTGATATTCCCATCAGGAAGACGGTATAGGGTACCAAATTCAGTTAAAAAACCTTTATAAGAAGTATTTTGTCTCCTCAGCAATAAAACTGGTAATGAATGTATGTAAATATAGTCCCCCCCCCCACCACCACTACCTATGTGTTTTTTCCATTTATTTATATATCACATACTGTTGTTGTGTTTTTATGTGACTCTTGTGTTTTGCTTGTGTGGTTTGTATGGGTGGGAGATGCCAAAGGCAAATTTCCATAGTAGTGGACAATAAAGTATCTATTTAGATCTACTCTTTTAACTATATATCCTAACATTCTGTGTACCTTTTGTCTAGAAGATGTAGATGTGTCTGCAAGATATCTGCAATTCTCAGTCATGTCTAAATGTTTGTAGAAGCAGCAAAGGAAATTTGTAAGTGTTTCCTGATCTTCCTGGTTTGGTATTAAATGCAAACCTGACCAGTTTACTTAGTATACCATAATCTCAGTCACTGGTACAAATAATCTAATTAACCTAATTATAACTGTAATCAATTTAATATTTAAGCTTTCATGAGAAAACTTTATAAAAAGTCTTTACATACAATATGACATGCTCTGTATGTACCCATTATCATTATCTCTTGTTCAGACAGCTCTTAATTTAATTAAGTGAGACCTGACTTTTGTAACCCATGTTTACTACCCCATAGAATGCTATTATCATACAGATATTGATTAAAGCTAAATTGGTAATAATTTCTATACACTTCCACATGATAGAACTAAAACAAATTAGTGTATAATTGTTTTTTTTTCATTTTGGAATAAGATGAGATCCTCAGATCAGTATTAATGTTGTTAAATGGGCAGAATGACTCCCTCCTTTGTACCGTTTCTCATTTTCTTACTAGCAGTCTTCTCAGTAATGGGTGCTACCCTTGTCTTGAGAGACTTGAAATATCCCGAATAAGTGGTTCACCTATTTTGTTTCATTTGACGTGCTTCAAGTTCCTGCTGACAGTCAGATGAAGACACGGCCCGCACTCAGACTGGTAAGGCCAGGACCATGGGGCACAATCTGCACTCGTGACAAAACCTCTTCCGGACGAACGGTTTAAAAGCGTCTCTGTTACTATTTTTAATCTGTGTGGTTTTTCATGCTAAATAATTATTCATGCCGCTTCTGAAATTAGGTCACCCCAGCAACACAAGGGGAGTTTGTTGGGGAATATAATAAAAGCAGAGTTTACACTTATATAGATGAATACCAGGAGATCATTTTTTACACAGTGTGCTAAATAATTTGTATAGCTTGCCGAGAAATATCCTAAAAGTCTATGAAGTGATATATAAGCAACTTGCATATTTTCAAACAAGAATTCAGAAAGCAACATGGACATTCACCCCATATTGTTAACTGTCCTTCAGCTTATGATGGGTTTGAGTATGATGTTACAAAGCATGATACACTACAGTGGTGGCTACAGCAGATGTCTGTGGAAAACGTTAAAGCTCGCGTTGCCTTTTTTATACATCCTCCTTAGAAAGACATGGCAAAAGTAACCAGTTTTCGGCAGCCACACATTTTAATCATCCTGAAACTACAATACTATCAATACTGACAGCATGCTGTGGCTTTGGTGTTGGTATGAAGACGGGAGAAATTTAATGTGCATTACTAAGGCGTTCAGACCTCTGCTGGTCCGTCATCACAAAACTTCCAGCTTTATTACACACCCTGGAATCAGCTATGATTGGAAAGTGAAGACCTTCTCAGGAACATCGGTACTGCCGAAATCAGGGCTTCTGATATAGCTGGGCATCACTAGAGGCCCATAAACCTGATTACAGCAACCAGACAACTCCGGGATACTGTGCTAGTGCCACAGCCCTTCCTGGCTCAATGAAAATGGACCTTTTAATGTCAACGGGACTGAACCCAGGCAGAAAGAAAGGCAGACCAGCAGATCTCCGAAATTGGAGAAACTCCAGAGCAGTTCAGTTTACCGACTTTCTTAGAGCCAAATTCATGCCACAATGTTGCGTTCCCACGTCAATATATAAGGATTTTAAAACATTAAAGAATAACAGAGGCAACTAGTTCAAGAGCTTCTGAGCTTTGTAGCTCTTTTGCAGGTGATTTTTCCAGTTACTCTTGGAGCACCCTATTTTTTCTGTGTTCTGCTGGGTACGTTGAAGAGGCCATTGTCAGGAAACAGTCACAGCTTCAGTAACAGAGGTAGAGTAAATCACTCTGCCTTCATCTCTACATACTGTGTAGCACAGCGGGTGTAAAGTCATAAGGGAACACTCCAGGATAAAGAGATACACATAGATACTGGATACACACAAGAGCAGTGCATGGCTAAAGGCAGAAATGCTCTGCTCCCCGTGGGTTGTAACAGGAGTAGGAGAACTCCAGGCTGAAATCGGATCAGAGCAGTGCTTGTTTCTTACTATGTCTTTGAAAGCACCCAGGATGGCGGCGGTGACGATGCCCAGGAACAGGCCCAGGATGTTGAGGACCACGGAGGCCCAGAGCAGGCGGTAGAGGTGAACCACGTCCGTGCAGCTGCTGACCCCTGTGTACTCGTAGTATTGGGAGAAGTGCTCCGGGCTGGAAGGGAACAAGGAGGCCTTCAGCTGAGAGAGGATAGATATGAACCCCCAAAACAGACATCTCTGCCCCAAAGTCACACAGCCGCACATCTTGCTTGTAGTGTGTAGCAGGCATAGTTCACAGTTCTTCATGCCGAAAGTGTAACAGATCACGTTTTATTGTTCTGTGCTTTCTGGGGCAGATGGTGCGTGCGCAGAGCAAACTGCAAAGGTTAAACGTCATCTCTGACACAGCTCATCAGATCTGTGGGAAAACTGAGCCGCATACAGGTGCAGACACAGCGTTTTGCCTTACTTACTCATTTCATTATCCATATCACACCATGCTCCAGGAAACAAGTCCTGTGTTTTTACAGCAAGTACCACCGCAGCCTGTGTACTGAAAACTGAGAAGGATTAAATATGCTGCTGCAATCCAGTTGATATTAGTGCCCTTTTGATGGGTTTAATGTCTCTCAGTATATGGGCTTGCATACACAGTACTTCAGTTGTCATGGTAAGAGCAAAGGTGAGCTGTCATAAATAAAGTAGAGGATAACCACTGTATGCGGTACAGTATTTTGATAGTGTGGAGAAATCATTAATTTAATTCTGTAAATTGGTTTCTTCTAGATCTATATGAATCTAATATCTGAATTACTGTGGGGACACACTTGCTAAGAATGAACTTGTTTATGAGTGGAGAAACTGTAGTGTTCCAATATGCCAACCGAAGTTACAAAAACCCACATAAAACTGTTCGACTAACTTAGCTCACCTGTGGGCCTGCCATGTTGGACTAGATTTTATTTGGGCTTTCAGTTTTCTGCATCCTTGAGTTTGCTCCAGTTGTTTTAGAATTGTAATAAAATCTTCATTGCATTCAGAAACATGAGCTCCAATTGATGAAATTAAAAATAATTAACCTCTTTAGACCTGTCCATAATTGTAAGCTTAATGTCTTTGGAAGACTTCAATAAAGTATATGTTGCATGGGCTGCAGTGTAATTAGTTTCTAGACAAACACTTGTCCCTGCCTGAGTTATATGCTGTTAAACGGTTTATACATGAGCTTTGTAAATGGATTTCTGAGGCCGTAACTGTCTCTTTATAGTGCAGAAAAAAAATAGATATAAAAAAATCTATATTTAATCCTTAACTGCTATTGCTGCTTAGGACTAATTGGTATGAAATCCAATGTATTACAGGCTGTGGAAAGACATGCATAAATTATACTGAATACTTAAAATCTAAATGAACACTTACAAATTAGGTCAAAGCCCTACGTATTAAAACACAAAATATAGAAACAGACAGGACTGGCAATACACATAAATGACATGGAGGTTTAAAAGTTGCTAATGTATTCACAACCATGTCATGACTGTACATGTTAAACGAGGCCTTGAAGCAGTCTTGCTTTGCCATTACAGTGTGGAGCCCTGCTGTTGTGGAGGTGCTGAAATCTGTGTGTGTAAGAAACGCATCCTACAGAACTGAAAGGAGCTCAACTGTGCGACAGGTGGCGTCATCTTACCTCTCGCAGTTGTAAAGATCACAGCAGTAGCAGGTGTTGCTTTTCACCCTCATCTTACACTTACTGCCAAAGGTGAAGCAGGACACCTGGCAGATGGAAGTGATACATGTTATAGAGGAATTTACTCAGGTAAAATATGCCTCTCGATCCAATATTAAATAACTTAAGCCTAGGAATTTAACTCTATGTGTTAACATGTTGGTACAAAGCCCTTCCACCCACCACAAAAAAAATACACTAGAGTTCAGAACAGCCTCACTTTGAAAAATATTACCTCAATTTGTATCCCCCAGCCAAGAACCCATCACATTTTAGAGTCTTTCACATTAAATGTTTGTCTCGTGGCAATGTGTTACACCACCCATGCTGGTGTATTTGACAGAAGATGGGCTCTCAGCAGTGAAAAGAGCAGAGTCAATTTCGAGGAAAAGTGAAATGCTACAGCTGCAAACTGCCAAATTGTCAAACTGTTCATGTTTCAGACCTCCAGGATAAGCTATAATTGGATGTGATAAAGCACCAGCAGATTACTTTGTATTACATCAGTGTTTTTGTTTGGATAAAAGCACAAAAAAACCTCTTCTGCATGGTATGTAGATTTTTACGTACGTGAAAGACAAGTTAACCGAATGCTTGGAATGACAAACCATTTACAATTAGACCGAAGCCACAATCTGCAGTTTCTAGTTGAATAAATGTGGGATGGACATGGAGATTCTCAAAACGTGTGTTTCCTGGAACTGGCCTTCATTTTTTCTTTTTATAACGTTACAATTTTGTTACTCAGTCAAATGAATTAAGGAATAACCTGAATCACAACCCCTGGGTTTCTTGGAGGTACAGTATTACACTTCTCAGGAGTGTTGTGTGGGATTTATTCCTGCCAGGTTATCCAGTGTTTTTCTGTCAACTCCTCTTCATTCCTTTCCTATAAGCATGAGCCATCTGTTGAGCTGAGATCTCACCAAGTTGCCAAGAGTGGTTAATATTCAGGGCAGGGGGCCAGGCATCTCCCCAGGGAATATACTGGGAGAATCTCATGAACAACACGGACAGATTAAACGCCAACATTAAATTCTGGTTACCGGATTCATCAAATCCCATTTCCCCAGGGTTACGGACAGGGCATAACTCACTTTATCACAGTTCTTTAATCTACTAATTTGGCAGAAAAATTAAATCAATGAATATATTAGATTTAACAAGGGAAGCGGGTAATGAATACAGCTGACAAATGCCAACAGAGAAAAATGAAAAAGTCAGGGGCTTGAGCTCCTGTTTGGTACAAATAATATAACAGCCCTAACAGCAAATGTAACTAAAAATAAGATGCTCTGGCAGCTCTTGGGATTAAGCAAAGGAATGTTAATACTTTGGAATGTTATCAGAAAAGAAATATATTACAGTGAGATCTGCATCATGACATTTGCATTATAAATATAAAGAATGAAAGAACCTATTTTCTCTTTACCCAATGCTTAAGGAACTGAGGCATATCAAACTTTTTAAAAGATAGTCGGCTTCCTCTGTCAATGTTAGGAGTGGAACTGCACATTAATTAAACATTAGGTCTTTAAATCTGAAATTAAAATACTTCTAAAATTATTCCCTATGTAGAACATTTTACACAGAAAAACAGAACTAAGAACAATTCTGCTGCAGTTCATGTAAAAATGTTGGTAGTATAATTGTATAGCAAATGTTAAAGTAAATGTTTCTTAAATATGCAGGGATATGCATTGGTGGGACATCAGATAGTCAGGATTACATTTTTTCCTTCTAAAATGTCCTAAATCCTTGGATTCTTTATTTGGAATCACAGCTTGTCTTTATTATAATTCGGTCACTGCTAATATGAGGAATGAAGCAATGAGGACTGAAAAGGAGATTTTGAAAAGGAGGCCCTGTTTATGTACAGTAACACAAAATCCTTTTGGAAACTGAACTGAACAGTACAGAAGGATGTCGAGACATGCTTCTCCCTTGAATTATTTTTCTATGAAACACCTCAGAGATGAATGATATGTTAATGTCTTATGAAATGATGAAGGCGGTGAAGGCAGAGCTGGTTTATTTGAGCTGAGGCATGCCGTTAACAACTAACAACATAAGTCCAGAATTCAAATCCACTCCAAGCCACAGAAGAGGCGACATGTCTATTTTGATGGCTTACTTGGGCTGCTGTAGTTCCTAATGCCCTTTACTGCTCATTTGAGTAGGATGCTTCTGCAACTGTTCCATTGTAATGAACCCATCAAACCTGTTTTTATACTGAACTCAAGGGAGTCAGCAAGTGCTCAAATGACAACAGAATGGGCTTAATGTAGGAATGACTTTTTTTTCAAGGAAGCCATTGCTTGGGTTTTCCCTAATATACTGTATAAAGACATTAAATGGGAGGCTGCAAGCTGGCTACACCTTGTTCAAAAAACGCAGTTGTGTACTGGAAAAAGAAAGGACTAGTCAAAACAAGTATGTTATGTCTGACAGGTGTGCCCATGGATAGTTTAAAAGGAGTGCTATTTTTAGCTATAGAAAATACGATTCTCAGCAAAACTGATCAGGATTTTCCAAATTTGACACTGAAACTAGGATCTGACAACACACTCTGGAAATAAGGAAAGATTTATTTGCAAGATTTGGAAAATCTAACCGGATCACAGTATCGGATACCTGTGGGCCTTCACCAATCAACAGGATGACCATAAAGATTTTTTCCCCCATTACTCTTTCACCTGCTTTTTGTTTTTCTCCAGTTTCAAGACCGAACGATGGAATCGCACTGATGTCATGCCGTTAAGTCAGGCCATAGTTTGATCAAATCCATTCCAGTCAGAGGATACTTATTCAAGGCCGTGTTCAGTTCTGAACATCATGTCACCAGTGAGACTAACAGTGCAGTGGTGCTCCTGAACAAGCTGGCCTGGATTCTTACCTCGGTGTGGTAGTTGTCATACGCATACCCAGAACCACTGGTGTAAAACTCACACCTTCCTTCAGACAAGGGTCTTCTATCCTGTGGCAGAAAGATAGTAACTGGAAGAGACTGTGACGTGACTTTCAATACATCCTGTTATATACAGTAATATATTCAATATACTCTGTGTCAATGCTGCTTGTTAAAGGTATTTCCCTGGCATTATTTTAAGTACAACCACATTTAAAATAGAGAAGAGGACACTGTTGTGTACACAAGGTGTTATGGAGGTATGGAACACCAATCACATTGTCAAATGGATAAGATCCTCCAATCAATTAGATTCGAAAATACAAGTGACCAAATGAGTGGATCATTCTTATATCTCAAACTGCTATGTGCTGGTTATATGAAATTGAATCTGACATGTCATGATAGGGAACTTGCATACCGTGTTTACAAGGAAGCCAAAAAAGATCGACAACAAGAAGAGAAGAAAAAGTTCAACAGAACCTCATCAAAATGCAGATTATTATTATTGTGACTGTGAGGTCAATGGAATGTTCTATTAAGTTATACTGTTAACCAAAGTTATCCCTCTCTTTAAAAGTCCCTGTCTAAGACTAGAGACAATGTCATGTGAAGAATGTCTAGTATTAGTAGTGGCACTTTACAGGTTTAAAAATAATAGGGGGAGGAGTGGTGAACACAAAGAGGGAGAGGTTTCTAGCCCAGACTCTTAAGATTAATCTTACAACTCCCCCTGCTGGTGCACTACAAGCTTTTATCTGAGGGGGTTACAAACTCCACTTCAGGATTGTCTCCTAATCTGCATTCAGGTCTTAGTTATGCAGTTGGTTTAGTTATTCAATTAACTGCGTAATTGCTATACTTCTGGTCTTAATAAAACCAGGCCCAGGGTGTTTTAGACAGAGCTGTATTTTTTACTGAAGTAGTTCTGACTGTTGTAATTGACCATTACAAAAAAACCTTATATACAGGTATCGCAAAGAAAATAAATTGGGTATTTTTTTAAGTGACCATAGACATGTTATGACTTTCTTGGAGTCTGAGATCCTTGATCTACAGTAGATAGTTTTTCTAAATAAACAGTTAAAACAGAGTCTCCGTTTTGTAAACCCGGTGCTGGGAGCTGAGATCTTTGTCACAGAACAGATGATTTAAGCATATTTAAGCATTGCATATGTGGCGCTAAATGTGAGGGACTCTGACGTGTTATGTAACTCTACGATCACCAGGATACACAGAAAGGTCCGGGTTACTTATAGTACAGTGTCTCGCAATTCATTCACTTTCACAAACAAGCCTCCAGAGAATCTTTAGCTTTGAGGTAGGCACTCTTTTTGACATGGTTTTAAAGCTCTTTAAAACTGTAACCGAATTGGAAAAGGTTAATTAACGGCAGGGCTGCTGAGGTTGTATGGAGCCAATGCGAAACAAGGTCATCCAGTAGGTAAATCCTTTCAGGCGCAGTGAATTTATTTAAAGCTTTACAGGCTTTAACTCTGTAGTTTTTCCTCCTGGTGTATTCTAAGTACTGTACAGTAGCTGCCATGGGGCTACTGGAGTTTGTATGTTCTCCCTGTGTTCTTGTGGGTTTCCTCTGGGTGCTGCGATTTCCTTCCACAGTCCAAAGACGTACTGGTAGGTTAAACAGCATGTGTGGGAAAACTGGCCCGGGTGTGTGCGTCTGTGTGCGCTCTGTGATGCACCAGTTACTTGCTGGGATAGCCTCTGGATTCCCCGTGACCCTGAATTGGATAAAGCCGTTAAAAAGTGGATGGATCAAAGAAAAGTAATTTCTGCTTTGTGTCTACACGCTGTAGCACATCATGAAAAAAGTTTACAGTGGGGGCTCCCCGGACTCTCAAGCAGGCCTTCTACAGCTCAGAACACCTCAAAGCACTCTTGAAGCATGAAACTCCTGAAGGATCAACCAAGAGCTGACGATACTGTGCATGTCCCTTGCCAAGAGGGAATAATACAGTCTGAAGATCTGCATCTTCACAGTGTTTTTCCCAAAGTTGAGAAATAGCAGGTGGTTCAACAGTTATAGAAAGAGGCAGTTTTCTAATTGAGAAAGAAACTACCTCCGTCAGGGGTTAGCAAACCAGACAGACTGATAAAAGCTCGGGGCACATGTCAGGAAGATTCCCTAAAGAGAGGGAGCAGGGATTGAAAGAGCTGTGTTTCATTATCAAGACAGAAAGTTTATAAGCAAACAGACAAGCGAGGTAGAAACAAAGTTTAACTTTGACAAAGACAGTAGGAGGAACTCACACATGTGATTGAAATGCCTCCTAAAATACCAATACTACTCTCATAATTAATCTTCAGTGTGTGGAAGCCCAGTTGAAAATGAAAGATGGACTGACATTTTTTTTTTTTAAAACAAGTCTATGGGAAGCAAGATTAATGGCAAAATTGAAGGAAATACACAGGATTATTGAGAATAAATTGTTGACATTGGGAGCACAGAGGGCATCATGCTACAACAACGAGCAGACTCAACAAACAACACAGCTAAACGATGTAACATGAGTGATATGTCAGGTTGATTCGATTAGGTACTGATCAGATGGATCATATGCCCTTTCTTTCTCTCCATACAGTAAATCTAATTCTAATCTAATGCAATGCATGAAGTGTAACAAATGTACTGTTTTTACTGCTCAAAAAGGCAAACTTTTGTCTTGGATTATCTCACTAAACTGCCAGGAATTGTCTCCTGTCAGTAGAAGCTCATTTAAGAGCAACAATAATGTTTTTCTTTCTGAAAGTAAGAGCCGGTTGGCTCTCAAGGTCATTGTGAGAACACATCGAAGTGTCTTTGCAAACATAACCTGATATTAAGTTCCCATTTGCTTGAAGTGTAGTATCTATGATTAGTACCTGATCAGTATAGTATATAAATACCTGGATTACATCAACTGTAATGCTTAATAACTTATTTTTTTAAGCTTTTATGGCCTTATTATTCCTAGTAGTGACATAGTTATCGCCTGCGCTCATTTTATCCCTGATTTCTCCAATAACGTGCCAAGACACGGAAGCATACACCATAAATCGGCATCATCCAACAAGGCAATCAGGAGAACTGCGGAGCGTGCAGGAGAGCTCTGACTGTGAAATGAACATGTCTCATTTGTCACTCCACCAGGCCTGACCTCCTCTGTACCCTGGACACTGTGGAGGGGATTTAACAATCATCGCTAATCTGAGGCAGGCCACTGCATTGCTATCATCTCAATTAGGCACAATTTGCTTTGTTCTATAATGAAGTGTCAGCTTCAGCACAAAATAAAAGAAGAGAACAGCTCACATCAAATATTTTAAGAATGTGTGTTGAC